TTTTTTTTTTTTTTTTTAAAGCATTTCATCTTCGGGCAGAAATTGAACTATTTTGCATGAACTATGGAGATGATGGATAGTAACATTGGACTATATTCAAAGGTAGTCTGCGGGTAGCTAACCATGCATGGGGAAATAGGAATTCAAGTATGGGAAATATTAAATGTGCGGGTAACCAGCCGTGTATAGGGAAATAGGAATTTAAATATGGGAAATATGAAATGTGCGGGTAACCAACCATGTACAGGGAAGTAGGAATTCAAGTATGGGAAAGTCTACGGGTAACCAGCCATGTATGGGAAAAATAGGAATTCAACTATGGGAAAGTGTGCGGGTAACCAACCATATATGGGAAAATAGGAATTAAAATATAGGAAATATGAAATGTGCGGGTAACCAACCATATATAGGGAAATAGGAATTCAAATATGGGAAATATGAAATGTGCGGGTAACTAACCATGTACAGTGAAGTAGGAATTCAAGTATGGGAAAGTCTACGGGTAACCAACCATGTATGGGAAAAATAGGAATTCAACTATGGGAAAGTGTGCGGGTAACCAACCATATATAGGAAATAAGAATTCAAATATAGGAAATATGAAATGTGCGGGTAACCAACCATATATAGGGAAATAGGAATTCAAATATGGGAAATATGAAATGTGTGGGTAACCAACCATATATAGGGAAATAGGAATTCAAATATGGGAAATATGAAATGTGCGGGTAACCAACCATATATAGGGAAATAAGAATTCAAATATAGGAAATATGAAATGTGCGGGTAAGCAACCATGTACAGGGAAATAGGAATTCAAGTATGGGAAAGTGTGCGGGTAACCAACCAACCGATGTAAATGTTGCCAGGAAACGAACTGATAATTATTAAAATTAATTAATTTATATAATCAGTTAGCAATATCTCAACTAACAGTATTTCCATGCTTATACTAAAAAGAAGAAAAAATTGGAAACTAAATTAATTAAAACGATGAATTTGGTTTCCATTTGGAATTTTTGTTGATTTTAACTAATTTAAATTAAAATTAGACATTTTCTATTATTATTATTCTATTTGCTTTCTGGCATTAATGGTTTAAATAAGGAAATGAAAAAAGCTAAAAAGCAAAGAAGCAAAATTGAAATGATAAAATTAATTAACAAAATAATTCAAAATAACTCGAAAAGACTTAACTAACTTTCATGCAATTCAGCTTCTCTCCAATATTCTTGCAAATATTCAAAGTAAAAGTAAAAGTAATAATAACATTTTAAAATTACAAATGCAATTGAATAAAATTATTCCTAAAATTTAATGACAAAAGAATTTTTTTTCATCAAAAAATTCAGTTTACATTATTTACTTTAATAAACTTTTTGCTAATTGAAAATACAACTTTTTTGTTTGTATAAAATTATTTGATGATAATTTATACTTTATTTCTAGATAGCTTAAAAACTTTTTTTTTTTTTTTTTAAAGATTCTTTTTAGTCCTGAAAAGTTAATTGGTTGGCAGAAGTTTTTCGGAATACAAATAGTTCCGGAAGCATTTGCATATACTTTAAGAAAATATCATATGTCAATGAATGAATGCAAGATTAAAAGAGTGTAAAATATTTATTAAATTTGAATTATCTCTATTATTTCTTACTCAGAAGATCAAATTTAATTTAGTAAGTAAATATGAAATACTAAAAAAAAAAAAATTAATTAAAAAAATTAATTACGATTATTCAGTTCATTGAACTGATACATTTTTTTTTCTTTTCATTTATTATTCGATTAATTTAGTATATTATTTGTAAAAAAAAAAAAGTATTTATGAATTATAAGTGAAAAGGAATAATGGAAAAAGAAAAAAGAAAAGTTTAATTAATTATCCGTCATTAGCTTAATGAATGATCTAAAAAGTTTCAACAATAATACTTTGTATGCTAAAATTGTGTCTGATCACTTAACTAATATTTATAAATTTTCTAAATAACTAATTCCTTTAATAAATTAACTAATATTTATAAATTTTCTAATTAACTAATATTTTTTATAAATTAACTAATATTTACAAATTTTCTAATTAACTAATTCCTTTAATAAATTAACTAATATTTATAAATTTTCTAATTAACTAATATTTTTTATAAATTAACTAATATTTGCAAATTTTCTAATTAACTAATTCTTTTAATAAATTAACTAATATTTATAGATATTCAAATCAATTAATATTTTTTATAAATTAACTAATAAATTTTCTAATTAATTAATATTTTTTCTAAATTAACTAATATTTATAAATTTTCTAATTAACTAATATTTTTTATAAATAAACTAATATTTATAAATTTTCTAATTAACTAATATTTTTTCTAAATTAACTAATATTTATAAATATTCAAATTAACTAATATTTATAAATATTCAATTGAAAAATGCTAAAAGAATATGTTTAAAAAGTTGTAAGTGTTTTGAGTGTTCCGAAAACAATGATTGCTGGTTGACAGTCCACTCGAGAAATGGCTTCATTGTTGTTTTCCGTTCACTCATTCGGTTGTCGAGAACGGAAGGAAAGAATGAATGAAGGAAGGAAAGCATTTTTTTTTCCTTTTTTTTTTTTATGCAAATAAATTGTCCCAAAGAAAATTCTTTTTCTTCCATTATGTAATCATTTTAAAAAGAAACTAAAAAAAAAAAAATAGAAATGGAAATGTTCATTTTTTTTTTTTTTTAATTTGAAAAATTTGATTTTGAAATGTATATTTTTGTTAATGTAAATAAATGAGAAAGTGAAATTCCCCATTGGATGAGGTAAATAATTCCCAAATGGGAAAAAAATTTTGCTTTTCATTTCAATTACAAAAAAAGAATAACCAAATAAATGGATAAAATGAGAAAAAGAAGAAAAATTAAATATTTTAAGGATTAGGAAGCAATTTAATTTTACCCGAAGAATAGCAAATAAGAATGCATCAACAAAAATAACAATTTGAAGTGAAAATTTGTGACATAAAAAAAAAAAAAAAACAAAAAGTGCAAATTTTAAAATTAATTTTTTTTTTTTTTTGAATTTCACAACAAAAAGAATTTTTGAGTCATACATTTTTTTGCAAACATTTGCTATTTGTTAATTAATTTGTTAATTAATTTTGCTAAAAAATTAAATTTAATATTTATCACTTTAAATTGATAAGCATAATTTTATTCTAAAATATTCTGAAGCTATTTTTGAATTTTTATGCAAAATTTTTAAGTGATTAATAGTAATTGTTCTAATAGCAATACTGTATGGATTAGTTGGTGATAAAAAGAGAAATAAATAAATTATCAAAAGGTACTAATTTGCGGCCTGTCACGTTACTATCACGTTTTTACGCTTGCGTGAAAGCAAACGTTTTTAGGAAAAGGAGCTGTTAGAAGTTACAGAAGAAAATATAATTTAAAATTTGGACTAGTGAACAGATATCGATTGATCATTTGATCTAAGTTGAATAGGAAGATAGAAAATTATTTGATCTAAGAAAGAAGTTTGGAACATTTGCTCCAAGCAAGCGCAAATGTCTCAATGACATCAAAAGGAACAAAATTAAGTATAAATATTAATTAATTTTGTGGTAGAATATTCAGCAAAAAAATAACTTAAAAGTTATTTAATGAATACTTAGCATCGATTTTAATTTTTTAATGAATACTTAGCATCGATTTTAATTTTTGAATTTTTTGTAAAAAAAAACTTTTTCCAAAATTGCATTTAATTACGACAAATTACTTTAAATGAATTAAAAATTTAAAGATATCTCACAAATTATGGATGAATTTCAATTTTAAAAATTAAATTTAATCAAAACATGGATGTGAGACGTGGCGGTGTATGAAATAAGTGATAAATTATTTATGGACTGATTATCATTAGTTAATGATAATAGAATGATAATGAATGATAGTAGAAAAACTTGTTATGATAAAATTTTTGTTAAAAGTTTATCGTAACAAGTTTTTTTTTTCCTGGAAATGAATAAATAAATATAAGAATAAGTTTAATCAATTTAATTAGTGAAATAAGTATAAGTTAAATCAATTTAATCAGTGAATTAAATATAAATTAATTAATTTAATCAGTGAAATAATAAGTTTAATCAATTTAATCAGTGAAATAAATATAAGTTAAATCAATTTAATCAGTGAATTAAATATAAATTAATCAATTTAATCAGTGAAATAAATATAAGTTAAATCAATTTAATCAGTAAAATAAATATAAGTTAAATCAATTTAATCAGTGAATTAAATATAAATTAATCAATTTAATCAGTGAAATAAATATAAGTTAAATCAATTTAATCAGTAAAATAAATATAAGTTAAATCAATTTAATCAGTAAAATAAATATAAGTTAAATTAATTTAATCAGTAAAATAAATATAAGTTAAATTAATTTAATCAGTAAAATAAATATAAGTTAAATTAATTTAATCAGTGAAATAAATATAAGTTAAATTAATTTAATCAGTGAAATAAATATAAATTAAATCAATTTAATCAGTGAAATAAATATAAGTTAAATTAATTTAATCAGTGATTAACAAAATTAAAACATAAAATTACTGCATGAAATTTAAAATTTGATAGCTAAAAGTGATATCGTTGAACAGTTATAGTATAGTTTGTATAGATGAGAATTGAGAAAACGAATGTAAGAAATTTAAAAGTTTATTATTTTTTTTTTTTCAATATCTTTTTTAAAAATAAAAAATGAAACTAATCTTTTAGTGCAGTGAAATTAGATGAAATTGAACCGATCAGTTTGATTTGCATGAATTTGAGGATATCTGCTAAAGTGTTAATTCAATGAATAGTTGGGCAACTACCCTTGGGTAACAATTGTACCCTGGAATTGGGTACAATTGTTGACATATTTCCTGGGATTTGAATATAATTGCTAGCATATGTCATTTTGGTTTACACATAATTGTTGACAAATTTTCTGAGTTCACTATGATCAACTAGCATGTCATTCTGAGTTGGACATAAATTATTGGCCAAGTTCTTCTAGGCTGGACATCATCATCACTAATTTGTTTTGCTTCCACATAAATTATTGGCCAAGTTCTTCTAGGCTGGACATCATCATCACTAATTTGTTTTGCTTCCACATAAATTATTGGCCAAGTTCTTCTAGGCTGGACATCATCATCACTAATTTGTTTTGCTTCAATTTTTTTGCTATTAAGCCACTTGAAAATCATCATCGTTTCACACTTTAGCAAACAATAATTTATGGCCTGATAAAAAAAGTATAAGTATAGGCAATATACTTTCATCAAATTTTAATTTCTAAAAATATAATAAAATATTTAAATCAATAAATAAATAAAAAAAAAAAAAAAAAAAAAAAAATCGATGTACTTTTATTCGATAAAAATTATTTATTGTATGAATGTTTGTTATTGGTAAAAATATTTCAAAAAATATTGCTTTTTTTTTTTTTTTTTTTTTATTTCAATATTTCTTTTTTTATTTTTCTACTTTTCGGCAATTTTCAAAGACGATGTAATAATAAAAGATAGCAATATCGATTGATGTGTTTTTTTTTTTTTGCCTCAATTTTAGTTTAATTATTTGAATTAAAATTATTTAAATATGTTGCAAATTAATGAGATTGAATTGATGTTTATTCGAGAATTGATGTTTATTCGAGAGTATATTGTTGAAGCAAATGTAGATTTAAAACTCAGATTTATTTTATTAATTTGAAATTGAAATGATAAGAAAGAATTTGCTAACTTTTAACACCGCCAATTCTTTTAGAGTTTTTATTGTGACAGTCAAACAAGTAAACTTTGTTTAAATCCTTAATGCAATTTGGGGCGGAAAAAGGTACTAAATGGCGGCGGCTTTGACGTGTGTGAATCTACCTGTCCAGGTGAATTGCAGATGACAATTGCGATCGGTGTTGACAGTAAGTGAACTTTTCGTCCTCTTTTCGATTGATCTGCTAAAATTCTGAAATGCATCTGAGCAATCAGTGTAGAATTTAGCATTTCTAATTTATCTAACTAAGTTGAATTGATGGTTTGTTGACATTTCAATTGACATATCTCTTTTCAAAATTAAATTTCATATTGAATAGATTGAAAGTTTAGATTGAAAAAAAAATTTTTTTGCTTCAATCAAAGATCTTTTCATCTTTATCGATTGTTAAGCTTATATTTTGAATAAATTTAATGAATGATGTAATCGAAATTATAATCAATGATTAAATATTTCTGAATGATTCTTTTCATGTGAAGTGATTTTGATTTATTTTACAATTACTGCGATTGAAAATTATCTGTGATAAGAATTATCTGTCATAAGAATTATTTGTGATAAGGATTATCTGTGATAAGAACTATCTGTGATAAGAATTATCTGTCATAAGAATTATCCGTGACAAGGATTATCTGTGATAAGAATTATCTGTCATAAGAATTATCTGTGATAAGGATTATCTGTGATAAGAACTATCTGTGATATCTGTGATAAGAATTATCTGTCATAAGAATTATCTGTGATAAGAACTATCTGTGATAAGGATTATCTGTCATAAGAATTATCTGTGGTAAGAATTATCTGTGATAGGAATTATCCGTGACAAGGATTATCTGTCATAAGAATTATCTGTGATAAGGATTATCTGTGGTAAGAATTATCTGTGATAAGAACTATCTGTCATAAGAATTATTTGTGATAAGAATTAACTCTGATAAGGATTATCTGTGATAGAAATTATCTTTCTGAGACATTCTTAAAGCATACTTTTTGCAATCATCAAAATAGTATTTTATTTCCATATTGAATTTGTAACTAATTCTAATGAGCCAATTTGTCTTGGAGTAATGTATCTCCATTATTCCCATAAACGTTTCCATACTTTGTCACCTAATTATGTGTCACTGATTACGCTGATCACGCTGATCACGCTGATCACGCTGATCATAATGATGGCTTTTATCCTTACATCGTAAAAAAAAAAAAATTCACCACATATTTAACTTATTTCAAACATTAGAAATCGATGAAATGTTCATTTACAGATTTTTGATCATTGTTCGTTTGTATTTTAGTTTCTGTAAATCAGTAACGAAAGGTAGAAGATTTCATTATTTAAGTTTAATTCACTAATTAATTAATTTTTATTGACAAAGTTTCTGTGTGCTAAAAATATTTATGCAAAAGATAACTTATAAAAAGTATAAATTAAAAAATTAAAACAAAGTTTTGTTTGTTCCGATGGTACCGTCACCAAATGACGTAATGATTGCGTGAAGTTACTGCCAGTATGACGTAAAGACTGCGTGAAGTTACTGTCAATATGACGTAATGATTGCGTGAAGTTACTGCGGGTACGGCGTAATAACTGCGTCATGTTACTGCCAATATGACGTAATGATTGCGTGAAGTTACTGCCAATATGACGTAATGATTGCGTGAAGTTACTGTCAATATGACGTAACGACTGCGTGGAGTTACTGCGGGTACGGCGTAATAACTGCGTCATGTTACTGCCAATATGACGTAATGATTGCGTGAAGTTACTGCCAATATGACGTAATGATTGCGTGAAGTTACTGTCAATATGACGTAACGACTGCGTGGAGTTACTGCGGGTACGGCGTAATGACTGCGTCATGTTACTGCCAGTATGACGTAATGATTGCGTGAAGTTACTGCCAGTATGACGTAAAGACTGCGTGAAGTTACTGCCCGTACGATACCAGAAATGTTTACTTTTTGGACGGATTACTGATTTAAGGTTTGAAAGAAGTTGTAAGAGATTGCATGAACAATAAGCGCCATAGCTATAATTTGTTGATGTTCCACAACAATGCGACAAATATCGTCGAATAACACAGCAAATAATTACTGTGACAATAAGCATAGCAATTAACCAAGCGCAAATGTACTGAAATTAATACTTTATAAAAAGTAATGATAAAATCTGATAAATTTAGTTATTTTATCTCTTATATTATCAATTCTACTTCGTTTAATTTGCATCGATTTTAAAAACAAACCATCGGGAGGAAGGCGAGGGGACAATATGGTTGACAATTTTTGATTTTTGTCTTTTAAATTAATTCTTTTTTGATCTCTGATGAGATCAGTAAAGTATAATTGAGAAGTAATCAATTAAAGAGAAGTAATCAAATTTTTGAAAAAAAAAAAATTTTGCAATGTTTTCTTAGAATTTGATAAAATTGTAGTAAAATAATTCGATAATGTCAAATTTCGGAAAAATTAATTGAGAATTTCAGGTAGTTCACGAGTACGGTCTCAAACAGTTTTCCGGTTAAATCCATTTGCTTTTTAACTTTTCCAAAACAGTAAAATTGATTTTGTTAATAAACTGATTAAATTTCATATTCCATTTTCTAGCACAAAAATTTCAGCGAAATTTTTTTTTTTTTTTTTGAATTTAATTGTTTAGTTAGACGGTTGCACTTTAACAATTTTGTTTATAACTTTAAATTTTTATTAATTTTAAGAATTTAATTTCTAATTGAATTTAGTCGAAATTTGTTTTGATTAACATAATGAATATTTGAAATATTTTATTACAGTGTTATAATTTTGATCATTATTTCAAAGAAAATTTTCCTTCTAATCTCATTTCACCATTCCATTTCCAGATATGATTTCAGGAAACGTTCATGCACTTCCGTATAAACCGCATCACAATAACGAATTTCATACCGGAGCTGCTAAAAAAAGCACATTTGCGCCATTAAATGATTATTTATTATTCAAATTAAAATACATTTAATTGCTAAATTTTGATAATTTTGATGAAAAGAAATTCGACAGAATAATTTTAATGCTAATTTCAAAGATTACGTACGTATCACGTAGAGTTCACTTCTAAACGTGTACTTACATCTCTTTCATCATTTACACCCACTTGATCACCTTTCAATTTGTCAAATTCATTAATAATTTTATAAATAAGATTAATATTTTTTAATGCTAATTTCAAAAATTACGTACGTATCACGTAGAGTTCACTTCTAAACGTGTACTTACATCTCTTTCATCATTTACACCCACTTGATCACCTTTCAATTTGTCAAATTCATTAATAATTTTATAAATAAGATTAATATTTTTTAATGCTAATTTCAAAAATTACGTACGTATCACGTAGAGTTCACTTCTAAACGTGTACTTACATCTCTTTCATCATTTACACCCACTTGATCACCTTTCAATTTGTCAAATTCATTAATAATTTTATAAATAAGATTAATATTTTTTAATGCTAATTTCAAAAATTACGTACGTATCACGTAGATTTCACTTGTAAACGTGTACTTACATCTCTTTCATCATTTACACCCACTTGATCACCTTTCAATTTGTCAAATTCATTAATAATTTTATAAATAAGATTAATAGCATTATTAAAAACAGTCAGCAATCTTGCTTCGAGAACCACTCGATGACCATATGGTACTTTTCGATTCTGCAAACTTTTCAACTAATTTAAAATAAAGCATTTTAATAAATTAAAAAAATTCAAGTTTTATATTTTATGATTAATTTCATTTTAATAATCAAACTTTTATATAATTTCAAATTACTGCAAATAATTTTTCAATTTTACTACTAAGTAATTTATCAATTCCTTCTTTTCTTTTTTTTTTTCTTTTTTCCACTTCAATGTTAGCTAAGCTTTATCAAAAATTTTCCTAACAATTCTATGACTAAAATTTTTTTTTTAAAAAAAAATTATAGCTCACTTCATGCTCTTCAAAAATTTCAAATGATTGAGTTGCCTTATCCAATAATTCTCCAAGAATTTCTAAACGATCCTCCTCTAGGGAACGATCTTCATATTTCACATTTGAAAGTAATTCTTCAGTTTCTTTGATACGTATCTCTGATTGCTGCCAACGACGACTGATATCCTTAACATTTAAATGATAACATATCACTAAAGGAAATTATTGTAAATTATAATTCAATTTAAAAAATTTTTTTTTATAAAATTTATTGAATCATATAATGAGAATATTGCTTTTTTGATTTGATTTAAAACAAATTAAATTAATAATAAATTCTTCTTTTTATTATTATTATTTTTTTTTCTTTTTTTTACTTTATAATAAATTTTTGCAATAGCATCCGGTACATCTTTCATATTTTTAAACCATTCCAAAGGCCTCTTTGCAATCTCTCGAAGCAATTCTACCTCATCATACTCTTTCGA